GGACAGTGGGTCCCCCTTATTGTTTACTGGCCCCCACCCACCCACCGCGCAGGGGTGGGGGCCAGGGGGGGAGGACAGTAGGTCCCCCCCCTCATTATCTTCATGGCCCCCACCCGCCGCTCAGGGTGGGGAGGGGGGAGGACCATAGGTCCGCCCCCCCTTATTGTAATTTATGTAATTTTTTTTCAACAGTGAGCAGCCACAGGCTGCTCACTGTTTAGTAGACATGCCCCTACTCGCGGTATAGCGAGTAGGGGCATTTGGGAGATTTTAATCTCCCTTGTGCTATTATGGGGGTCATATTGACCTCCATAGAGTGAGAGGGGGACCTGGGGGGCTTATGAAGTGGTGGGGAGCACTGCTCCCTGCCGCTTCTATAGTTACATATTACAAGGAGGGAGCTGCACGCCGGTAGCTCCCTCCTTGTAATAACCTGCACGAACAAACATACACTGATACATTGTGTTTGTTTGTTCGGCTGATCTTTCTATTCATCTTTTTAATCACTGATTCGTCTGTCTGATGAATGAATGAATAGATGAAATTCCCGTTCGCATGTCCAGGTGTTTCACTGGGCATGTGCGGGAATCTCACAGTCTATCTAGTGTGGGCAGATGACGTGTCCCACAGGGACTTCATCTACCCACACAAAGATGGCTGCGCCCTGAATCAGGATCGGGGCAGAAAATAAGGAATACAAAATAGGTAATGTGGGGGGCTTAGGGGCATTTGGGGGTGACTAGTGGGTCAATTGGATGTAGTGGAGGCGGGAGGGGGGTTAAAAAAAAAAACGGGATTCAGCATGACAGTGCCGCTTTAAAGTTCTACTGTGGAATGTTGGGGTCTTATTTGCCTGCAAGAGGTGAACACGTTGAGCAGCCTTCAGGAGAACTGCAGATTGCTTAATTAAAACATAACATAGTGGTGTTAATATCAGCATTGTCAAGCACATATAGAAAAGCAGTTAAACTATTAGCTTCCTGGAGTTAGACTTTTATTTTAGATTTTTTTGTTCACTGCATTATAAAACTGGTTTCAGCAGCAGGGTTCAACACCATATAGAAGACTAACAGAGCTAAATAGAGTAAGCTAGATGAATGGGAAGACATCTCTAGTGCACACTCAATTATTAAGTGTTATTATTTCGGAAGAGAAAAAAAAATGTATTGTTGAAATTGTTATAATCACTTAATTCTCAGGACATGGAGATCCCTTGGATTACTTATTTCAACAATTTGTTGTCAATTCCTTCCCGCTGCTGTGAGGCGGTGTGGGCGCGAGGGAGCAGTGACTTACCTGCTGTTCCAGCACTGCTCTCTACGCTGATGCCGCCGGGAGACAGGAAATTATATCAATCAGGAGGCGGCACCTGTCTCCCGGCGACATCCGCAGAGGGAGCAGTGCTGGAACAGCACTTAAGTCAGTGCTCCTTCGCAGCCCTCTATCCCACTCACCTACCAATGATACGAAAGCAGAGTAGGCGGCTGCCATGTTGGGCAGGCCGGTGCCTACTCTGCATTACCGCCTGGGGGGGCCTAAGGCTGCCGACCGCCGCCAACGGCACCTCCATAAAGTGTGCCGGCCCTGAGTAGCAATCCAGCGAACTATGGCTGCGTTCCCACAGAGAGGGCTCGACGTGCCATAGGTTTGCCATCGCTGGCTTAGGGGGTATCTTAACCACCAAGGAAATCGAAGTAGGAATACTCCAAGTAATATCATCAGAGATGAAAACAGGAAGGTCCAACCTCCATAAATAAACTAGTTTTATTTAAAACCAAAATAGCAAAACCAATAATATAGCATAAAACACCAATAAAACACTAACATGTTTCACCAACAGACAGGCTTTTTCAGAGTTTTCGTCAAAGCAACTACTTACTTGCCTATCGCAGGTTTCTAAAGCCTCAAGAGTTCACATTTGTCAAGTTTTCAGATTCTTGTAAGTGCCTACAAAAACAAGATTACGTAAAGGAAATGATCACTATAATTTTTTTCTCTCAAACAAACAAA